TCGTGTAACCGACTCTTCAGTCAGAGAATAAGCCTCGTCTTTTATTTCCCATGTTTTGCTATTTTTCCTGAAATCAGCCTTTTTTTGTTTTGTTTTTTGCCTCTCTGTGTTTCTGGCCACGGTTTGCTTTTTTTTTTAACGCTGTCGCAAGCCTCTGTGCTCCATCGCCTGAGAAAACATGTGGTTCTTGGCAGCCGGCCGGTGTAGCTGGTGGCGGCAACATTCAGAGGCTGTGCGGAGAAAATGTATTTTTAGTTTTTTTTTTTTTTTCTACAATTCATGTGTGATAATAACTTTTCTTCCTCTTTAACTGTGACGCGACATTGTATTTGATATCCAACATACCGCAACCAGTCAAAAGTCTGTCCAGTCTATAATGTATTTGAAATGTTACGGCCTACAATGAACAACCGCTCAATTAAACCCAAGCAGCTCTCAGATAAAGATACTTGTAAAACTACTGCTAAGCCAGTATTCTGCCCTCATCGTGTCGTCGGGATGTTCTCACATTGCGTTGAATTTAAAATGGTGTTCCTCCCTGCAGATCCCAGCCTATGGTAATATTTTCCTCCTCCACCTCAACGTTTGACCTTCCGTTTCTCTGGCATGGATTCCCCGTCATCAGCACTCTTTCGCTCTGTCGTTAGACAAACGTTAGGCTTTCCCTCAGCAATTCCACTGTCATCTCCGGCCGCAGCGGTGAATTAACGCAGCAGGTTCCATCTGCTACTTCTATTTCTAAACCAGCCCAGGCATCGCCTGCATCAGCCAGGCTGGTGCTCGTGGTTTGGGTGTAAGAGTCGAGGCCAGAGTGCACCGTTTCGCCTCGGATTTGACTGATTCACAGTGATAATTTGACTCCGCAGCTGCAGAAAAAGAGAAAAGCGGGACCAAGCCGGGCAGAGAGGGAAGGCTGGGGGGGGGACACATGACACTGTTTAGATGTGGCCCAGAGAGAGACTCGACCCACCGCTGACACCAGCCCCCCCCCCAGCATGGCAACCCTCCAGCTTTATCTCGTTAAAATCTCTCTGCCCGATGCCATCCAGAGAAATAAACGGGGGACGCAGGGAAGGATGGACAAGAAAAAGGGACGAGGAAGGAAAGAAGCAAAAGGCGTGGGGGGGTGGGAGAGGTATTAAGGGGACTCTTAGTTGAAAAGGGCTCCCAGGAGCCGGGCTTTAAGCCCACGGCGTGACGCTTACCGCGGGAACCAGTGGAGGGCGGAGAGAGGGGTGAGACACGGCGTCAAAAGCTGGAGGTGAAAGATGTCTGTGATGAGGAGAAGCAAAGGGCAGCTGCTTCTGAAGGGGCCCTGAATGCATCACAGCAGCCGTTTCATGCAGCCGGACGAGTTTTCTGTTCAGCTCGGATTGTTGGTCCACCAGCTCGTCAGGGCCTTAAGTCTCTGGTTATTTGATCCACGTCATTTTGTGAGCAGTTACCATATAACACTTGAGAAGTGCGCGTGTGTGTGTGTGTGTGTGTGTCCACACTGTACACTCACTCGGCTCTAATGAGGAGCTAATTAACCGGGTGTCCCCCTCCCCCCCCTCTCCCCCTCTTCCCCTGGTGCCCTGAGCAGGTGGCTGGAGCAACCAGGCGGAACTCAGTCCAAACACACACACACACACACACACACACACACACACACACACGATGGAAGGAGTCTGTATAGCAGAGCTTGTTTGGCCAGGCGGAGAGGTCACCCGAGGGGGCCCCCCGGCAGGTCTGGTCCGGGAGGGAAGAGGGGGAGGGGGGGCGGTGGTGGTCGAGTGGCCCCATGGATTCTAACGAACCGATTCTAGCCACGGGATTTGGGTTTTCCAACGGCATCCAAAATCAATTGGCTGCCCGTACCGGCTTGGCGCTGGAGATGAAGGAAAAATGAGGTTGGATTTATCCCTGACATGTGGAGCGGCGCAGAGGGCTGATGCACTTCCACAAACGCACTTTGCATTTCGTTTGTTGAGGGCAGCCTGCAAGGGCCAGTTTGTCAGAGTAGACAGGAGGGACCGGCCCATGAGCACATTTAGGAGGAAGCGGTCGTGAAAACGGGAGGAACGTTGGTCCTGTTCTGCTGTCGGCCCACCCGAAATGTTCCCTGGTTTGACCCGCTCTCCAAGCCGTTGGTTTTGATGACAACGTGATGCAACCGTGCTCTTAATATTTTCCAAAGGGGCTTCTTGCCACAAAGCCCGTTGCTTTGTGTTCATTATTTCCACGACAACGGAGGACCCAGATTTTTGGACACTGACCCATAAAGGAGCCGCGCTCACCGCAGGATCTCAGTTTCTCTGCTGACTCTGCACCACCCACAGAACTCTGAGGTGTTTTTCCTCCGACAGATAAGAATTAGTTTCTTTTTCGTCTCGGCGGCGCACTAGTGAGGCTTTGATGTGTTAATGAATTGAAAAATGGCCTTCAAGAGTGTTTAGTTATCCCCGCTGAGCCTAATTTGGGCGATGGGGGTGGAGGGGCGCTGCAGTGGTGGGGGTCTTGGGTTGGGGGAGGAAGGTGGGGTGTCAGCGTGCACGCATGTGTGTGTGTGTGTGTGTGTGTGTGTGTTCACAAGCACTTCAAAACAAACCCATAAACATTCCAGGATCCATGGGCAGCTGCAGCTCCAAGCTGAAGTTAACTGCACACACACACACACACGCACACACACACACACACACACACACTTACTTGCGTTCTGCTTATTTATTCTTGTCAATCACACATTCTTTTTCTCTTTTTTCTAACTGCTATTTCTGTCACTAGGTCCACCTCTCCGTCACCCAAAAGCACAAGTCATTTAGAGGTCAGACTCTCGTTCTCCGCGCTCGGACGAGTCCTCCTTGCGTCGGTCGCGTTGCACAGCGGCGGGTGGAAGCGGCGGCGGCGGCGTAGGAGGTGCCGTCGGTGCTGCGGGCGTAGGGGGGGGGGGGGGGAGAGGGCTTTCATGTTCGGCTGCAAGGTGTTAATGGACCCAAGTGCTCACAGCTGCGTGTGCGTGTGAGACGCTTGATCGTGATCACGGAAATGGCTCACACACACACACACACACACACACACACACGTGGACACACAAACACATGGACGCGCGCACACGGATTCTCGTCGATGCTGCTTCAGACAAAAAGCGACGCGTGCGATGTGTCACCATCTCCCAGAATCCTCCACTTTTATGCTTTTCCCCCCCGGGGTCAAAGGTCGACCCTAATTTCGAGAGCACACAAAGACACGTCCAACGGCGTCGACGCGAATCGATACGAGGAGCGGCGTTTCGTCAACTGCGGAATTCCATACAAATTGGGCCAACTAATAACCAGATGGAGTTAGGACACAGTCTGGGAATGTCCCCCCCCTCTTCCTCCCCCCCCCCCCCGGGCCCCTGCCCCCCTTTTCTTTCCCGGGGTCTAAAAACAAGGAAAACCGCGGCACCGGGCCTCCACCCCCCGTGTGGACGGAGGTTACGTATTATTCAGCGCTCGTTCCCTTTCGTTCGCTGCAAGTCGTTCATTCGATTCAACGGCCCTCATTGAGCTCCGCGTCGCCGCTGAACGGACCTCCTCCTTTTATAGTGACGTACGTCTTATTTCTATAATGGTCACAGTACTGCGCACAGAGCAAACTCCCACACGAGCCTCCTCGTCATTACCCGTGTGTTATTCTCCCCTAAACATCCATCGTTATTGCATTTGCACCAAATATTTGCCCTAATAATCCTAATTTTGCCCGCAGCCTTTGACCTCTTTGGGGAAGCCGCGCGCCGCTGTAGTTTATCCCTTTTCTTTCGGGTCTGACATCCGCCGCTGATTTAACCAGCAGAGCGTCCGGATCAAACTCTTGTCACGCAGGTCTCTCATCAGGCCTCTCAAATGCGTCGCTCACCCATGCGGTCGGATAGGGAGGAATCAACGGAAAGGGACACGAGGAACTGTGCTGGATTGCGGGTGGAACCGGGAGGGGCTGCGGGAAAGATGTGACCTCGCTTCACACGTCCCATATATATCGCCGCTCGGCCCATTAGGACCGACAGCCAGCTCCAGCCCGCCCCATCGCTCTCGCTTTTAATAGATCTCACAGGGGTCCTTGCTCATCAGCGGTACAGGAATTTAATGCCTCTCTGTCCGGTGATTAATAGCCGACGGGGCTGCGAGAAGCAGAGTCCATCAATCGCGAAACGGAGAAAATGAGCCCTGCAGATAATGACTTTTGATTGATGAGTTTTGGAATAGCAGCCGAGGTAGATGAGGGACCACTTTCGATGAATCGGCCCCTCCGGAGCTCCGCCGGCTCCCTCGTGATGTACACGCGGCGAGCACGAGTAAACATTTCATCGACGCCGACGCGCACTCGAGTGCACTCTCTCCGTTTACTCACATTCCCTGATGCGATCGCGCCGCTGACCGCTCTCCCCCCCCCCCCTCTCTCTCTCTCTCCCCCCTTCTCCCTCCGCAGCGTGCAACTGCAACCTCCACGCCCGCCGCTGCCGCTTCAACATGGAGCTGTATAAACTGTCGGGGAGGAAGAGCGGAGGCGTCTGCATGAACTGCCGCCACAACACCGCCGGCCGCCACTGCCACTATTGCAAGGAGGGCTTCTACAGAGACCTGGCCCGGCCCATCAGCCACCGACGGGCCTGCAAGGGTGAGACGCAATCATCGTGCCCTTATTCTTACGCCTCCACGCGGTCATTATATCGTCCCGCGGTGCTGTTTTCTAAACTTCACCTGCAGCCTTTTTTTATCAGTCAGATTGGTGCGAAAATGAATATACGACGTTCTGATCCTGCTCATATACTCGCGTGATCACGTCTGAATGTCTTCTTATGATTGGAATCCTACATGGTTGGTTTTAATAGAAAAATATCAGCCTGTGTAACTGTAGCAGAGAGAAATGAACTGATCGCTCGTTTCTGGCCGTACCACACACCACATCATATTATCGCTTGACCGAGGCATTTCTCATGGAAAACATTTTTTCCCCTTTATTAATTCGCGTTTGCAGTGAATATCTTTCGGCCTTCTGTAATGCTGGAAGCGTTTCTCTCCCCTGGACCCACCGCTAGCACAACACTAGTATTCAAATCAATGCCAGCCGGAGAGTTTTGTTTCTTGAGGAAGGTAAAGACTCGGCGAAAAACAGGGAAACAGCAGCCGGCCTCCCCCCGGCTTTCCCCCCCCGGAGCCGGCCCGAGCTGCTGGAAGCCAAAAGGCCCACGATGGTTGGAGACGTCCGGAGATCAGGCCGCTCTCGCCCGCGTTAGTCGCGCCGAGGAGCCCCTGCCATTCATCATCCAATGGCACAGCCACTCAAAACACGTGCCCCCCCCAAGGCTGGAGTCACTTGACCTCCTGCTGCTGACGGAGAGAGATCTGCCTCGGCCCTGACGGCAGATAGACCCTGAGACGAGATGCAGTCTTTACTCCCATGTGTCAGGGTCGAGATGGAGGTCAGAGTTGCGGTCTGGCAGATGAGGAGAACGGGGGGGAAGGGGGGGGAGGCTCTGAAATGGAGTTACAACAATAAAACACAGGTGTTTGGTAAAAGGCGAGACAGGAGTTGTGAGGCCTCTGAGAGGACACGCAGGCCTGTTTCTTATGATACCTGCTTTGCGGTCACAGACTGTGGAGCTTCTCCTCCGCGGCGTCGCGAGCATCGAAACGGCCGACATGGCAGTCGCCACGCGGCACCCGACTGCAGCGCTGCGAGCCCGTCAAAACGCAGCTTTCCCTATGTGAATCTAAGCCGTCCAGCTGGCCTCCGTTGGCCACAGGGAAGGTCGACAGAAACCGAGGCTTTGTGAAGCAGCGCCGGCCAACATAAACCACATTGACCGAACGGCTCGAATATCTTGCTGAAGCGGAGCATGAAGATCTGTGGACAGAAAATGTGTTATGCAACTTAATTCTAAGGGTGATTTTAGGGCAGTAATATGGGACCTTGCATAAAACGTGATCCTCGAGGGCGAATAACACAGATAGTTTAACATTAGTGTCAAGGTTACGCAGCACCTGTGACCGTAATATGTTAATCTCAGGAAGGAGCTGTTCAAGTAATAGTTATTTAAAAAATAGTTGTGCACGGTTTATCTGTGCATGGTTTAGTTGACGGACATTTATTACGTAAGTTTGCATTCAACGTAAATAAGTCAAACTGCTTGTTGAAAGTCCTGTTCAACCACCCAAACTTCACCTTCTAAATGCGGAGAAACACAGCGGGAAACGGCACACGAAGGTTTGCATGCATTGTTGTAACATGCCAAGTTTCTCTACTTTGTTAATACAAAAAAAAATAGCACAAATTCTCTGACTTTTATTTTTTCTTCACAAAGAAGTAACCAGTTGAACTAAACAAAGCCTTTTTCACCCCGAGGGAAACGTCTGCGAAAGAGGCCGCCGCTAATAACTGCAGACAAAAAGCAGCCCTCCCGAAGCACTTTAGCCCACGTGCACGCACGCGCGCACAGAGCAGCACGGATCCGTCAAACGGAGCCTGTCAAAGGACCACGAAGGACTACAAATCCCAACGCAGCGCTTGTCACGTATGCAGCCGCAAAGGCTTGAAAAGTCATCAACCTCTGAGGACGTTTTTACTGCTTCTTAACTGGCCTGAGCCCCTGCACATAAAACTTCAGAAAAGCAGTTCAAGGAGGAGAGCTGGAGGGGGGGGGGGGGGGGGGTGGAGATTGACACCCTCCCCCACCTCCCCCCCCACCCATACCAGGGGCGTTCAGAAGGGGGAGTTGCTGGAGTTTTTCTCGACTGAACAACGTGGACTCTTGACTGTCTTCACAGCCCGGGATTTGTCTTTTAAAAAAGGGAGTCTTGTTCTGGGAACGTGAACGACCGGCCTCGGACATGAGAATCCTGTGGTACGTCTCTCTCTGAGGGGGGTGAAGATTTACCCCGGGGGCGCAGGACACCAAAACCCCTGGTGGGGAGAACCTTTGTGACCTGACCTCTGACAACCACCCTGTGCAGATGCACGGTGCTCCCTTTAGGTCAGTCTTTTGTCGTCAAAGCTTGAGTTTCCTCGTCGGGACGCCGGAGCGTCACAGATTTACGTCTCTCGGCGCTCGGCTTCAAACGGAGCGCCGCCCGCTCTGACACCTGTGGGCCGCAATTACCCCGGGGGGGAAAGGCGCAAATGTGTTTTTTGAAGATCTGAGCTGCAGTTAATCCCCCTCCGCCTCGCCCGCCAGACCCAGATGATCAGTGCGGGGTCAGTTTCCCCGCCTTTCAAACCCTCTCTTTGTCCAGCCGACAGGTGGTAAGGTGCTCAGGCTTTTCCTCTCTTCCGCCAGCTAAACTATGTCCGCCGCAAATAAACACATTCACAGTTCCGTCGAGTTGTGGGAAGAAACCGTGGCGTGTTAGCAGCTGCCTTCTCTGGGCAAAACTCTTAAAGGGCTGTTGGCTTACTGGGTTTTTCCCCACAAAGTGTCATTTTGGTCTTTCTTGTCCTTTCCCGATAAGCTTGGACAATTAAAGCTATCTCGTTACAGCCGAGTCGCTCTCTCTGCTCGTTTTGCGGCCCTTCTTTTTATAGCGGTATACGTTTGAAAATAAGGTTCGCATTCATGCTTTGTTGCATTTTCGGTGGCCCGTCGGTGGACAGGAAATTAAACTTTTCTGGCCTTTGGATTGTTCGGTTCTGTCCATTTCAAGTGAAACTAACTTGTGGGCCGCTGCAGAAGATGTAAAACTCTGTCGCATTTGTTTTGATATGTCACTGGTCGTGTTTGTCTGGACTCGCTGTCGAACGTTAAGTATGTGTTTATTACTCCGGGAACAAATGTCTGTTTATTCAGCCGAGTCCGAGCAGCCACAGTTTGGTCGGATCCACTGATGTTTATGCCGTGTGGACCTTCTCTCCCATCCTCCACTTGGCTTCTGCCCTCATCCTCTTTAACATCTTGTCAGAAGGTTTGGGACCAACGCGCCGTATTGTCTTGTATTAAACAGCTCTTTAACCCCCCCCCCCCCTCCCCCTTGCTTGAATAAATTGCCTCCAACCAGCCGGAGTCGTAAAGCCAAAGCGAGGTGACCGGATTGCTGCTTATTGCTGTTGGCATTTGCTGCCGGGCATCGGCCGCGCTTTTTCGGGAAGTGATGACGAAAAACACCCGAGCGTGTGTCACCGGGCGGACGGAGCGGAGAGGGGAGGACACCCTGTGCCTCCACGGCAATTACCCCGTCCCCTGCTTTGTCGCCTGGCGCCTCCGCCCGGTTTCTCTCGTTCACACAAACACGGGCGGTGTTTTCTCCTGGTCGCGCCGAGGGAAATCCAAAGCACAGAAGCAGCACAGGAAGGGGCTACCTCACACCGTGAAGCCTCCAGCCAGACATTCGGCTTCAATATATGTGGAAAACCCGCTGCCAAATAACAGAATGTAGCCCGTTCCAATCCGGCACGGCAGAGACTCGCTGTATCCGAGGAGCCCGTCGGTGTCTGCTGCGTGTGTGTGTTTGTGTCATTTTGGCATCACGTCTAATTGACCTTCTCTCTCCCTTCTCTCTGATATCACAACCCTCCCTCCCTCCTTTCCTTGGCACCTGTCCCTGACCCCCACCCGCCCAGCCTGTGACTGCCACCCTGTGGGCGCAGCGGGCAAGACGTGCAACCAGACCACAGGCCAGTGCCCCTGCAAGGACGGCGTCACCGGCATCACCTGCAACCGCTGCGCCAAGGGCTACCAGCAGAGCCGCTCGCCCGTGGCGCCCTGCATCAGTGAGTGGTCCCACTGCACACAGGACTAGCGGTCACGGCGCGACACTGTCCCGAGCTTGGTGATTTAATCACGCCGGTAATGAGTCACCGCACTAAACTAAGCAGAGAACGCAGGAGAACAAAAGGCTTAAATAGTTGCACGCTAGAAGCAGCATCCGCTCAGATTACGGAGAATAATTGAAAGCACACGTCCCAACAGCATAAAGTAATTCTAGCGCTCTGACCGGCGCGCACAACGCGCACGCACGTACACGGCACATGTGTTCTCTGGGGTTTGCATGGCCACTGAAGATGCAACGATGCAACGGTGCAAACGAGAGTCCGGACGTGAAGTCTCATACGTGAACGAGAGCCGGTTTGAGAACTCAACTCCTGCTTTTTGTTCTTCCACTTGCTGTCAGTGACGAATTGTGTGACCCTGAGTGTGTTTGTGTTTAGTTTCACCAGTTTGCATTTCGACTACACCGGGTTTTTAATTGCCCGCGTGTTTACGTGCGCGCGCGTGCCTTATGAAATTTGCCAGCCGCCCCCGCTACATGCAGGCATGCGTAATAGACGGCGAATTTCCACCACACCGCGTGCCAGGCGGTGCGGTCGCACGTTGCACGCACTCACGAGACAACCTCCGCCGGAGCAAAGCGCGCCGCCGCCCAGCGCCGCACAGAACTCTGCCACGCTGTGCCACATGGTGCCGTGTTGTTTCCCCCTCGCATGCGGCTCCAGGAGCAGATGGCGGACGGGCGAGGGAGGAGAAAACAACTGTGGTCATGGATGGCGGGCCTCCGCTCATTCGAGCGCCACTGAACCGAAAACGAAAAGAACAATGGTCCGTGTGCGTTTAAGTACATGCGCACATTTAGAACCGCCACGAACGGCGCTAATGGCCGCTGTGTGTGTCATTACGGCCTCGCGTTGGGCCGTCGTACCTCCTACTGAGGGCCCCTGGAGCCCTAAGACAGAACCAGGGCCCGTTGAGCCGCCAATTAGTATGATGGCAGCAACCCTCATCTGAATGATCCTCTCATCATCTGTCTGTCTCCACCAAGTGGCTTCCAGCAGCTGCGCCTGCCTTCGCAGAGCCCGGCGCCCCTGTTTGTTTTTGTTGGCGGGGTGTCCATAATTTCAGAGACAACTCAGAGCGCCCCCCCCCCCTCCCCCTCCCCCCCGTTCCACACCGCCGACACACTCGCTCGACTCAAACCCTCGACCTCTAAATCCAATCAAAAGCAGATCCTCGGGGTGGGTTCTGAGCCCGCTTCCAGTTGCTCTGCTTACATTGAGAGCTGAGCGCCCCCGTCGTTAGCATTAGCATTTGTATTGGAAAGTTTAACGCCGCTGGAAGAGAAGTCCTGGAGGAATTCCACGAGGTCCTTTCTGGGGTAGCCAGCGGGCACATCAAGGCCGGGCCGCATCTGTCTCGAGACAATCCCACCCGAGATTTTGCCCCCTCGCCATCTGTCCATCCGTCTGTCACAGCAGTGCTGACCCAGCAGCTGTTAGGGGTGGACGAGACTAATCTACTGCCGCCACACCTTTCCGTTTTAATCAGCGCGCCGAACTTCTCCATCACGCACCATCACTGTGTGGTGCAGCTCGTGACTTTTGGCTCCTTTGACCTCCACTCAAACCATCTCAGGGTTTCACTGTAGTCCTTAAACACCACTTGGAAACCACCGTGGAACTCGTGGTGTATTGACTGTCCTCCCCCAATAGGTGTATATTGTCAGTGTTTATCTAGCGTGGTTTTATACAATTCCCTGGTGTGTAGTTTACAAATGTCACAAACTCATTACCAAGCTTTCCCATAATGAACTCAGACAGACTTCATTTCTTTGACCCGCACCGCGCTAGCGGGCTTACTTAGGCCATAACGCCCGAAAGGCCTCGATTGACATTCGACCAGCAGAATAACTTTGGATCTCTTGGTGTTTCAGAGATCCCAGTGGTCAACCCCACAGCTGTGGTGAGCAGCACGGAGGAACCGGCAGGTTAGTATTCGCCGTCTGCGCCTCGCCCATGAGCACCGCGGCTTTTACGAGGGGAACAAAAATGTTTTCATATTTCTGGAATAAATATTAATGAAGGGTGGGTTCCGCTCTTTTTGAAGCTCGGCACAGGGAACGAGCGCACCGGGACCTGCAGGGTTTTTCCATTGTCTTAAAAAGCCGGGTGCCCTTGGAAGGGTTTTCCTCCGCCCGCTAACAGCTAGCCGCTGACCTCCAAGCTAGCGGAGCCTCGCTGTGCTCAAAGAATCCCCGCCGAGGCAGCAGAGGGTGATCGGTTCAAGCTTGTCTGGGGGATTTAGTTGTTGGCACGTGGCTGAGGGAACATTTGTTCGGTCTCTCCCCCGAACTGCCCAATCTACGCGCCGGTCAATTACCCTCCTTTCGTTTTAGCTAACGTTTTTAGCTTCTTTTAACTTTAAACTTTTTTCTGTCTGACTCTCGCATTTCCAGCCCAGCTCTTTCTCTCTGGCGTTTACCTTCTCGTGTCTGCTTCCCTGGGAAAATGTCTCGGCGTCTCAGAATAAAAGACTCGTTGATCTGCGATTCACCTCAGGCTCCGCCGGAACACACCGGATCACTTCCCCTTCCTGAACTACCATAGAACCGGCTTCAACATGGGAACCCCGAGGCCCCACAAGGTTTTTGTGTAAGGGGCGGTGGGGGCAATTTGTCCTTGTCGTGGCACAATGCGCGGCGCTCAAACGAACGGGGGCATCGCGGGTAATTCTCAGTGAGCTCGTCTTCTGGGTCAGTGGGCGATTCACCGAGCGCTTTTCCAGGTGAACAGCCAGCAGCAAGTGACTCTTCATGGGAAAACACGGGCTGGTACCTTCAGGCCAGCGACCGTGTACCACACACACACACACACACATGCGCAGTGGCAGTGATCTAATGAAATCCATGCACATCTCATGCGAACGCTCGCCTGTCACAGTTGCATGCACACTTACATGATAATGATCTGCACATGAAACCGCACGCTCGCGTGTAATGAAAAAGACCTTAAGCGAGCTGTGATATTTATCATGATGTATTTAAAGTATGTGAGTAATGCACAATGCACACGCACGCTCGCACAAATCCATCCACACCTCTGCGCCCGTCCACCGCCACACCTCCGCTCATCGTTTTTCTACAGTCGCCCCGTCTGGAGGTTATTGGAAGCTGCCATCTGCTCTCTGTTTCTCCACTTTCCTCCCTTGTCTCTCCTCTCTCTCGTTTAGCTAATAAAATCTCCACCGCTCTGATATACAGCCAAGCCTCCTGGACATTTTTATGAGGTCCTTCGGTCCCCCGTTTCTTTCCCCGCCTTCATTGCTCCATCCTTCTTTCCTTAAAGAGCGAGCGATGCAACGTCCTGTCTCTCGTGCAACCCCAGAAAGCGCCACTTCGGCCTTTCACAACCATTTTCTTCTAATTGGGGCATTTCGCGTCCTGCAATTTTATTTGGTTTGCTGTGGGAAGCAACGTTGCTGAATGGTTTTTCCTCTTGCAGAGGTTTAAAGCACCGGTCCCAGTCCAGTCACCAGCAGGCGGCTTAGGGTCAGCTTTTTGTGTCCCGTCACTGAAACTCGCTGGAAACCTCCCGGCACCCTTCACGTTTTCAGTCAATTGTTTAAGGGTTTTTTCTAAACTATTTGACCTTCGCATAGTTTTGTAATTCAAATAAGTGGATTCAAAATGGGACGGTTCACGAAATGTGGCCTGAATTCAAGTACGGTAGAGCCTTGCTAACAATCTACAGGGTCTCCTGCTTGGCACTGCTCCGGTACCAGTTGTTACCATGAGGACAATTTAAAAAACACTTCATTTTATTTATTTATTAATTGCTAAAATGAGCAGAATTCTATTTCGTTAAGCCTTAGTCTTAATTCTTCAATCCCCTCTGCTCTAAGCTCATGGAAAACCCATTTTGTGATCCCAGAGACGCAAACTTGTGAAAAAATACATATTCCAAGAAACAAACCAAGGGAAATGAAAAATGCATGTGCTCTATTTTATGTGGCTAATCTCCAACTCTCTCGGGTCATTGACTTTTGTACACAGTCATTTTTGAACATCAATTTGGAAGTTAATTCAACTAATATAGTAATTTGTTATTCAGGTTGAAGGTTACGTATGTGCCTTATTGTGGAAGGATTTCAGGCTGCAGCCAGAGAGAGTTGCTGTTTATATATTTGTTTTTTTTGACCTGAAAAAGCCGCACATGACAACTACACCAAATTAAACCGAGGGAGGTTGGAGAGGCAGCCAAAAAGATCCGAGCCAAGAGGTTCATTTCAACTGTCACGATCGCAATTGTGACGCCTCGTCCCCGGCGCTGCGGCCGGTCAGTGGAGGTCGTCGGTCCGATGTGTGGTCTCAGTTGTCACGCTGGCAGCCACGGCCTATTCACATCCATCCAACCGTGACCCGCTTACGCCGCGCTCTGTCTTTCCTCAAGACCCCCGATAACACGTCAAGCTGAACACTTTTACTACTCTGGTATGTTTCAACCGGCTGTTAAAGCCGTTTGATATGTGGAGTTTGCGTTCTAGCACTGAAACCAAGCCAAGCTGTCCAACCTGCTCCAGCCCCCTCGGCCCCGGTCGGGGAATCAAGTATTAATATGACTGTAAAACGTACACATGCATGTGCAGAAACAAGCGCCCGGGGGGTTTATTTGGATGCTTTTCAGTGGGTGTAGTGGTGGTTTTCACAGCCTATGGCCGTTTGGGTTCGTTGTCCCACTAACTTTGCATCACATCACCTAATAGTCTATCTATTTCTAAAAAAAATAGTCCAAAAAGTCCATTATGTGTGTAATGTGGGTGTCGGTGAGATGCGTTGCAGCCGGCGTTGCGTACGTGACAGTTGTCCATGTGCTTTCGCAGATTGTGAGTCCTACTGTAAACCAGTGAAGGGCAACCTGAAGATCAACATGAAAAAAATCCGCCAAAAGGGTTTTGGTAGAGATTGTTGTGACCGTTGCCGATCCATCCCCTTGTTTGAGGCATTCTCCCTCAGGTGTGTTTCCCCAATTGTGTCCTCAACGGTGCAAGTGAACGTCCTGAACATGGAGCCGTCGGGGCCTGCCGAAGTTCCAGGAATCTGGTGTCCGTGTACAAGAGCCGCGCCGACCCCTGAAGCGAGGAGACAACCGTCCTGTGGGTCCCAGAAGGCCCTGCCTGCAAATCTCCCAGATCCAGATGGACAAGCGATCTTGTGATGGCGGCAGCGACGCGGAACGGCGCGGCGCAGGCCCGGCGGCGGCCCCGGGGCGAGAGCCCCCAGTCCCGGGGCGGAGCCGTTTGGCTTATTGCCCGATAAGACCAGCTTGGTGATCCAGTGGAGAGACTTTTGGCCGAGACCCCTGAGGAAGTTCCAGCGCAAAGAGAAGAAGGGGGAGGTGCAGCAAGGCGTGATGGGACAGGGGCTTTAATCCCCAGGACCCCCCCCCCCCCCCCCTCTCGCTCCCCCGTCCTCCCCCCACAGGAACACTGCACATTAGAAGGACTGCATGTACCCTACCTGTTTTACGGACCACGTGTTGTGCATATTGTATAATTATTTCGCCTTTTTTTTTATTTTTCAAGGTTTTGTCTTTGTTATGTCTGTTGTCTTTTTTTTCGTCCAACTGGTTTGCCTTAAAAAGGGACCATTAAAAAGGGTATGAAGTGTAGACAAAAAACAGACGCCATTCCCTCCCTCGACGACGACAGCGGAAAAGTCCACTGGTCCCCTGACTGCGACCCCGCGACCCCGCAGCCTCCTCTTAACGTCACCACTGACCGTCTCCTGCCACTTTCCTTCCCACATAAGCAAACCACACCTCACACCCTCCTGTGGGGATTTTAACTCCGCGGCGTTTGTCACTGACGGGTTTCAGTAACAGGCTGCACATCCTCAGCTTGTCCTGCTCACGTTTCATTGTTGAAACAATTCAATCCACGTCTGCGGTCAAAATGACCCTGAAACATCGGCCTGTTTGCTTTTGGGGGTCCCTGCAGCAACTTCCACCGACTGTGACCATGAAACTCTCGTCCCACGAGGAACCAAGGGCTCCCTTTGCAGGGACCGTTTCCCGCGGCCAACCTCCTCCAGGAAGCCCTCATGGCGGCGGTTAGAAGTATTGGATGCCATCACTCATAGGAAAGTTTCTCTGCGTGGTCCATATCCCTGCCCTGTCCTTAGTTTGCGATATATCCCTTTGTTTCATTTCGAGCAGAAAAACCCTGTTAGCGTGTGCGTGAGTCACATTCCGGGCCCCCGGGACTGTGCCTCCCCACCGCGAGGCCCCCTCACGAGCGGTTTATGAAGTCGTGCATCACCACCGTGACTCATCGCTTTCTGTCCCGCTCGCTGGAAGGAAGCGGCGCGGACAAATTTCCAGAACAATACCAGTATTTCCAAGGAGACCTTCGGAGGCGATTGCCTTCCAGATGTTTCTGTGTGGCCGCTGTCATTTGCTTGTATTTAAATGTCCAGTGACCGGCGGGCTTTTGTTTTTGCCGAAACTAGAGTTCCTTTTCATGCAGTAAAAAGAAAACAAAGTTGGATAAACAACATAATCGTGTCTTTCTCTAGTGTATTTCGACAAAATGAATGAGGCCGGAAAGTTTTGAGTGCTCACTTGACTGTTTTTCGCCGTGAGCGGATCCTATTTCGTTCCTCGTGCGCTTTGTTGTGTTTGCGTGTTTGTGGTTTTTTGCTGGTCCATCGAAACCTTACGGTGAGCAGTGAGAACTAAACTGAAATGCACACGGATCCACTGGGGTAACTTCCCCCGGTTACCTTCCCCCCTCTTTCCTACCCGGACACGGCCCCCTGTCATCCTCCGCCAAATGAGCATAGTGCGTTTTTAAATTCAATTAAGAGACCATGGAAGTCGGGACCAACAAGAACCACAGGGAGAGACGTCTGGTTGCTCTCAAGCTTTTTATCTGCCTTCTGCTGTTATTTCATTTCGTGAGGCACATTGCAATTCATTTAAATGGAGTATACGCGATAAACACGCAGATTTGAGGGGCAACGACAAGCCGGCGTAGCGGCGCGCGTGTGCAGACGGCCATGTCATGCTAGCGAGCGGTTACGCTCTCCCCTGGCTGCGGCGGTGTGTTTGGTTTGTCTTCCTTCCAAAAGCGTCTCTCCTCCGCCAACCCCCCCCCCCCCCCCCCTTTTCTTCTAAACTAATTTTCAATGCATCTTTTTTGTCCCTTAAATGTCCCTGCGCGGGGGAAGGGGGTATATGAAGTTTCCGCGCCTTCCCAGAAACGGTACACGATTATATAGCGATGCTGTTACCGGTTAGGGTTATCACGTCCGGCTGCGGCATTGAAAAACTTCCCTACCCATCACCCTCTAAACAATTGTCCAATATTTTGGCTAGAAGGTACTGGATGAAAAAGGCATTGCCCTAGACTTCATGTGCTTATGGCAGCATAATGCCACTATAGGCACCAATCCCTACCTCACTGGCAAAACATTAACGACATGGTCACAGAGAATGTCCGCATTTAGCTCAAAGCCCTGATGTGTCAACGGACAGCATTTAAACCTACTGGTCTCCTTAAGCTCATAACTACCCGATGGTTGAGTCCCAGTTACAAAGTTATGTAGCAAGACGTACTGTTAGCAATCAGGCTCCCTCCCTGATTAATGGCCATAGATGAGTCATTTGGGAGCAATGATGGCAGCAGCTAAATACATACATGAAAGCGTTGCTCTCCCAGCTTGTTCTTTAAGGCGCAGTCTGGCTAGTCTTACTGTCCAGCATCTTGCTTGTGTAAAGAGTACTTACAGCATTCTAGTGATAGGTCAGAAAAGGCTCATTGGTGCTGACCTAAGGCCGCTCGGACACTTTCTCTCTTTATCCTTCGTTACGGGTAATATTCATAA